GTCCCCATGAAGATTGTGGAATGAATCCTCCTGGAAGCTGTGTTCAAGCACATGAAGAACAAGAAGGTGATGGGGAAGGCAGCAGGAAACTCTGCTTGACTGCTTAGACAGCTTGTACTAAGATGACTGGTTCAGTGGATGAGGGAAGGGCAGTGAATACTGATTTTTCTTTGACTTTTGCGAGGCCTTCTGCGTGGTATCTCATAGTATTCTTGTAGTCAAATGTGAGATACGAACTGGACTAAGAGGTTGTGAGGTGGGTGGAAAACTGGCTGGGCTGTCAGACTCAGAGCTGTGAGCAGTGTTAGGAAGTTTGATGGGTGGCCTGCTACTAGTGATGTTCCTCAGTTCCTGCAACTGGTACTGTTTGTCTTGTTTAACATCTGGTAATATTAATTACTCTTACAATATGTCTTGGAAAAGCTGCTTAAGAGCAATTATGTGAAAAGTTAAGAATGTTTTTCGCAGCAGGCTTAAAATAAGGCATTTTGATAGACTAAACATTTTATTAAAAAATAGTGGCTACTTTTTTTGTTAATTCTTAGTATGAGTCAAATAAGAATATTTTAGATGTTTGATTGTGGCCACTATTTTACTCCAAAGGAAACTGCATTGCTAAACTAGGAGAAGGCCTCTACTGTTGCTTACGCTATTTAATTTATATGCCTTTTTTTACTTACTTCTTCAACTAAATGTTTATTACTTAAAACATATTTTCACTGTTTGGAAAAAAGGCTAAGTAGTTGTAAAGCTGCTTTTGTAACTGTAGCCAAAAGAGGTATATGGGGTAACAATGTTGTGAAAAATGGTGTGTTACTGCAGATTTCCAGTAGGCAGCAGTATGAGTAGTAAGCACTTGAGTATTTCATTTTTGCCTGTTGTTAATCAGTAAACGTACTGATTTTCTTCATTAGATCCTTTTCACTGGGCTTGGCTGCCTCAAGCGAAAGTTCCTTTCTCTCAGGAGACCAGAGACTTAGTTCTTCCTCGCATTTCTGATATGAACTTCGTACAGGATCTTTGTGAAGATCTTTATGAACTATTTAAGGTGAATTGAGTGCTTCTTTGAATAGAGCATTACTGAAATAGCTAATACCTGTAATGGAGCAATTGGATGGTTTTTCTTGTTATGAATTTAACTTCTTTATGTCATCGTACTGTGTTATTTTAGCTTTAACACTGGCATGGCAGAAAGGGTTTATATAATTAAGAGGAAACTGTCACTAATGTGGCTAACTGACAATGATCAGCTCATCTGAAGACATAATTACCTTTTATATTTCTGTTTCACATAATCAAATAAAGCTAGTTAACTCTTGTAGCACAAATCTGTGTAAAAACTCCATTTAACATACCTGTGTGGTGTGTATACACTTAAGATAAACTGTAGCAACCTGAGGAAATCATGTATTTAGTGTAACTTAAAGTAACTGCATACCTTTCATATACTTAATTTTACATACATGTATTGTGTGAAGTTGATGCTGGAATCTTGACCATGTTTAAAGTAAGTCAAACTTACTTTAAAGATACTGAAACTGTGCTACAATCTTGACATGTGAAGGAGCCTCCTTCTCTGAAACATTCCTTAAACAATTGTGTCAGATGTTCAAGTGAAATAACCCAAATGGTCAGGATGGAAAGAAATGGAAATTTTAAACTTTCAATGAAAATGCAGCTGGAATGTCAAAACTAGATCCTGAAACACATTTGCAGCATTTGCGTCTTTGACGCAGTTGTATTCAAAGTGACTCTGGGTTGTCTGTTAAACCCAGTGGCAACTGAAGTATTTAATAAATCTGAAGGAGGAATTATTCTTTTGTGAAAGTACAGGTGAGACAGAGCGGTGTAACGTTATGAAATGGTATTAAGACTACTTACCAATGCCCTGAAGTGGTATCCACTGATGTATTTTATGGTGTGGAACATCCTTTATTTTCACGTATGTAAATTTGCTGCAATAAATAGACCTTTTTGTGGGTCATACTATGACTATTTGAAGCTTCCAAAAATTATAAGGGTGAATATGACTACGCGTGTTATGAAATTGATGAATTTGCATGCTAAATATAGACCTAAAAAGAAATGGGTCATTTCCTGTAATAACTGTTCTTTTTCTTAAAGACTGATAAAGGATTTGACAAGGCTACTTTTGAAAACCAAATGTCTGTTATGAGGGGTCAGGTAAGACCACTTTTTACATTTTTATTTATGTATTTAATTTGTCATCAATTTTCAGCTGTTTTTAGAGCTACAAAAACTGACTCCTATTGAATTGAAAGACACTTGAAAGTATTTTCATCTGAGAAGACTAAATTTCTTTCTAGCATTTGTTCTTATTTGCATATAGATGAGAGAGAAGAAAGTGTATAGAAGATTTTCTTAAATAACATAATTGTGTTTTATTGTTTTTGTGGGGGGTAGGGGAGGACTTAATTACCTATCTATTCTTAGAAGGTGTTTTAAAAATGAAACACTGAAGAAGAGTCATAAACTTGGATGGCAAATTTGGTGGGTAATTCTGTTATGTTATTAAAATAAACGCGACTTTATTTTGGAGTGTCAACTTGATAATTGAAATACTTCTCACAAGAAAGCAGTGTTAGGTAATAAAATTTCTTAATCCTAGCAAATGTCAGAACCATACTTGGAACTGATCCAGCCATTTTCAGATTAGAAATTTGACAATAATTAAGTGTTGTGGGTTTTTTTTCTTAATACTGAAACAAGAGAGGGGAAGGGTTTCTCCATCTTTTTCCTTTTTTAAAATTTAAGACTGGTGTGATATACTGGAAAACATGCTTTAGCTAAGAATAAATTATTCAGTTCGTTGTAGGCATAAAACAGCGATCTGTGAAAATGTAAGGGAATTGGACTAGATAAATTAATAGTCCCATTTGCCCTGAATTTATTGAAACTGACTTGTGTGTTCATAAATTCAGCATGGGTAGTTTAAAGCCAGACGCTCGCAGTTCCTAGGAGTGGCTTAATCTGACCTTTCTCTGTAGAGTTTCCTCTATCGAGAAGTACCTTGCACAAGACTGCAGCTCTGCTTAGTCAAACATAATCCTAGTGAACATTAGTTACGTGTGGTGGCTAAAAGCCAGCAAATCCTACTTATTAGATTGAATTACAGGATTTACTTCTGAAATAACTTTTCTGAGAAGTTTGTGCAGTCACTGGAAGGTCACTTCTGAAGTATTTATCCATTTTAAACTGTGTTAAGTAGCTTTTTTTTAGTGATGAGACAATTTGCTACAGGGAATCCATTATTTAACAAAAAGCCTAAGGAAAAAAAACTTGATCTATATAATTGAGAGACAGATCTAGCTAAGATTGTCTAAATTAATTTCCCATCATAAAGGCTGCATCTGGACCGTTTCTTTGCACCCTTTCCCTGAGGTGGATTTTGGCAGAGATTTGGGGTTTTTGTTGGTTTGTTTTGGTTTGGGTTTTTTGGTGTTGGTTTTTGTTTGTTTGTTTTTTTTTTGTTAAATCACTCTCTAGCTATACAAGAATGTGTTTCACTGTGGGAGATGTCAAGTTTTCAGGCATGGATTTAGCAAATAAATGCAGATAATGAGTTATTCTTGGATGTGATTAGAAATACATCGGCAAATGATGCCTTATAGCAAGCATTGTAGACTTACTTTTGGTGTAAAACCAAAGTATGTTACAAGGGCATTATAGAAGAGCTGGATATCTAGATCATGGATAATGGAATGATAATGACATGATAATGGATTCATTCAGTTAAGATGAATGTGCAGGGTAGCCAAAACATCTGTAAATGCATCCTTAAAAATAAAAACTTAGATTAGAAAACTAAGAATTAGAAAATGAAGAATCTAGTTGATAAAGATAAAGAGGCTGAAGAGAAATATATCTTGCACATAAGGGGCAAGATCTTTGAGGAACCAAAAGTAGTTAGAAGCATATTTTTGTGAAGGGGGGGGCGTGCGTGAAATATTGGAAAGGGTTTCAAACCCAAGATAAACAATTTTCTCAAGAATATAGAGACAAAGCAACCAGGTAATGCAGATCTGAAAATGTAAATATCAGGTGGACTGGCTGAAAAAGTCAAATTGCCATAAACCATGCAAATGACTTTACCTGTCAGGGGCCTTCAGCCATGAAAGTGCAGAATGAGCAAAGGATCAGTAAGTCGCACAAGGAAGAAAAGGGTGTTGTGTAGGGGGAAAAAAGGGTTGATATTAAAGATAATGCAAGTGTGTCACCAGAACTAAATTGAAT